CCATCCGTCGTCAAATTTCAATTTACGGGTTAGACATATATTTTACCACGCGCCACATGTCTTGAGCTATGTTAAGTTGAAATAGACACAAAGCTGATAATTTCGAAATGTTCTAACCTTACTTGCTGTAAAAGGCAGGTCCAAAAAACGATTTAACGTGTTTCCGTCACCATTCGTCGCACGTAAAGCAGAAGTTTGCTTTTGTTTACACAGCTCCTACGGGTTTCGAAAAAACACTGACCCCCCACTGACCCCCTACTGACCCCCCTACTGACCCCCCCTACTGACCCCCTATAAAAGCAATGGGAAAATGAAAATTAAAAAAGCCCAGACTATCAATGAGACCGATTCAAGTTCATCAATAAATTTAGCTTACCTGAAACTTCCAAGATGGCGGACGCGTTGCAGATTTCCGACTCTCTTGTTCTCCTTTGACTGTTTAGTGGAGGTTTTGCTGACGGAAGATCGAGCACAGAATAAGCTTGAATATCATCAAATATTGTCTTCGTCCGCATTGGAAAATGAAGCAAAGAAAAAAGCTGACAAATGAGCAGGCTCGCGAAAGGCTTGTGATGGACTGCTCGTGCGAGCGGCACGAACACGCGCGTAAACCTCAACCGGAAGACAAATTTCATAAGGTAGTTCCAGGCCTCTCGCCTTGTATTTGCATTTTAAGAACTGTGGTAACTGTAATAGTAACTGTAGTATAAACCATTTGGACAAGCCCGTTGGATTACTTTCTCCTTCGTGCATGAAGTCGTCAAAAAGACCACGCATTCTCAAGGTAAAATTCTTATATAATCTTATCAAAAACTAACATACCTTTCTACAAGCTCTACCACATCCAGATCGTCGGTAAGGAAAAGTAACAAAAATAAATTTCATAATGTATTCATGGCATAATTCGGATATACAAAGTGCAAGATAAGAGGCAAATCGATGAAAAACAGTAATGCCACTTACCGTCCATGACTAAAGCCATGTGCAACGTAGTTTGTGCATGCGGNAATTTAGCTTACCTGAAACTTCCAAGATGGCGGACGCGTTGCAGATTTCCGACTCTCTTGTTCTCCTTTGACTGTTTAGTGGAGGTTTTGTTGACGGAAGATCGAGCACAAGTTTGAATATCGTCAAATATTGTTTTCGTCCGCATTAGAAAATGAAGCAAAGAAAAAATTTGACAAATGAGCAGGCTCGCAAAAGGCTTGTGATGGACTGCTCGTGCGAGCGGCACGAACACGCGCGTAAACCTCAACCGGAAGACGAATTTCATAAGGTAGTTCCAGGCCTCTCGCCTTGTTTTTGCATTTTAAGAACTGTAGTAACTGTAGTATAAACCATTTGGATAGGCCGGTGGATCACTTTCTCCTTGGTGCATGAAGTCGTCAAAAAGACCATGGATTCTCAATGTAAAATACTTGGATAATCTTATCAAAAACCAACATACCTTTCTACAAGCTCCACCACATCCAGATCGTCGGCAAGGAAAAGTAACAAAAATAAATTTCATAATGTATTCATGGCACAATTCGGATATACAAAGTGCAAAATAAGAGGCAAATCGATGAAAAACAGTAATGCCGCTTACCGCCCATGACTAAAGCCATGTGCAACGTAGTTTGTGCATGCGGAAGGTGAGGGACCTGGGGCTACAAGGTTGC